GTAGCTTTGTGGTTAAGGCATTCACCCTGAAGGGGGGGAGCCTAGGTTCTGGTCCATGCTCCCAGGACTGTTTCTGTGTTTCACATTAAATAGTCATTGGATAAAATAATCAGTGGAGCTAAGCCAGTTTTCCATAGCTAGGAATCTGGCTCAAACCTTCTGATCAGGCTGGTAGTGCACAGATGTTACCTTTAAAAAAAATCCCACTGCAATTCTTACATACATCTTTAGGCACCTAGGGTCAGAGTCTATTCCACCTATTAGGTGTGTAAGTGGACTTAGGTACCTAAAGTATTCTTTTATTCCACCTTATTCAAGTTGCTGAAAATCCATTAATTCATCTACGTAGCAGCAGTACACTTAAGGATGAGCCACAAAAAAGCAACAAGGAGGAAGAAGACCCACCCACCTTTAACATGAAGTATTTTTCCAGGGACTTGAGCAGGGTGTAATAGAATTGCACTTAGGCATCTAGGAGGTGGAATAGAATCTGGCCTCTAGATACCTTCAAAAGTGAAGATCTGAAAGCTGTTACAGGTGACCCTTGACATTCGCAGGGGATACATTCTTGTATCCCCCATGAATGGTGAAATCCGCACATAAAGCACTGCGTTCATGAATGTCACAGGCATTTATGAATGCAGTGCCCCCGGTGGCTGGGCAGGTGGCACGGCTGCTCTGGCAACTGTGGGAGCACAGCGGCAGTGGTAGGAGCCTGGTGGCAGCAAGTGCGGACCTCCCGAGGAGCTCCTGTAAGAGTATTTAAGAAGTGGGTGCGTTCGTGAATATTTGAAACCGTGAATGCCGAACCCGTGAACAGTGAGGGTTTCCTGTACTACCTTATGGCTGTTCAGTGGGCTACCTGAAAAAGGAACTGGAGTAGCCAGTTTTGTGATGCAACCACATCACAACACGCTCTCTCACAATTTGGCTAAGTAGAAATGTATAGGACTGGGTCTGAAACTATTTTCCTTTGAGCCTTAGCAGTGACCCATCCAGCTCAAGTCTGAGGCAGGATGCTATAGCTCCAGCCTACACATTCAGCGCCTGCCCACTCTCTCTGGATGATGGATGGATGGATGACTCTACTCTCTGTGGCTGTCAAACTAGCAATTTTCTACAGCACTTTAAACTTTGAAGAAACCTCCTCCTCCTTCCCCCCTCCCTATGAAATAGGTTGCTTCCAAACACCTGTTTTAGTCTAACACATAAGTCTCAGTATGTCAGCCTGTTTGGAGACACACGTGTGAGGGGTTTGCAAGGGCAATCTCTCAATTCCTTGGCAGTCAACACTTCAGTTCCCAGCTAAAGCAGATGTTTTGTTCAGTGCCTCATAAAACCCTGAATAAACTTTTGCACGTTTACTCTGACAGAAAAAGGACAGATATTTCTTATCCGCTTCTCTGCCGCTGTGCAGCACACCCCAGCAATTATGGCTGAGGCTATCGTTATCAGGTGAGCAATAAGGAGGAGTGTGAAGAGAGATAGGTGATGGGATGGGCCCTGGAAGCACTGTGGCAACGAACAAGTTATTGCAGGTTTGCTGGCGCCGTCAAGTCTGTATCGGCTTGTTTCAATGGCCATACTGGAGCAGAGGGAGGCAGGCACCGTGCTGCTACCGGGAAAGCCACTGTATGCTGAAGTCAGATGGCCCTCTCATCTGCACGCAGAGACAAGTAAACAACATACAATGTGCACATTGATTTCCAGTGCTTTCTGTCGCCTGCCCTCATTTATGGCAGGGAAACGAACCTTCACCTTTTGTTTCTTTGCTGTCTCCTTTTTATCCCATCAACAACAAAAACGAAGTAAGAGATCTAAAGTCAGTGCTCTAACCTCCCTACTGACGTTCTCCATGTCCTATCCAAAGTCTTCTGCCTGCGAATTACAAAGCATTTTAGAGCATTTTCATATGTGTGCAGTTCCACTCTGAAAACAGGCTATATAAAAACAGCACTCTTTCACTCTCTAAATCTACCCCCAGTGCAACTGAAAGTTGGACCTGGTTGATTGCACGAACAAAATGTCTCTGCTGCTTTTTTCTCCAGCCAGCCTGAGAAGCCAAAATAGCTCAGAAGGAGTCAGCTGGATGGGATTCCTTCTCATGTATCCACAACAAGAAAGTTCCAATCAGTTACACCTGTAGAGCCCTAAGTCTACCAGGTGCCCCTTAGATCAACTGCTGCCTTGCAGAATCGTTATTATTGGTAATGATGTGGGAGAGGAAAAGAGCCCCCTTGGACTTTAGATGCCAAGCTGTTTTTGCAAGATACACAGTTAGAACCACCCCCCTCCAGCTCTTTAGTTGTAATGTGAGGACCTTAGGAGACAATAAGCATGAAACCTCTTAATGCCAGTATTTTTCAGGGTCACTTTCCAAAGCCTTTCAATCCCTTTTGAGGTAGGTAATGTTATTCTGTTTTCATTGATAGAGAGACTGAAGCAAAATGGTTTATCCAAGATCATGCAATGAAATAAGTGTTAGAGCTGGAAACAACATTTTTTTTCAATGGTAAAAAGGACCAGTGGGAAGTGGGTTGTCAACTCCCCTTTTTGTCTGAAAATCTTCATTTGAACTCCTGATCCTGTCTTTCTCACCACTGAAGCACACTGCTCAGTTTCTTAACCCTTATTGAGGGTCTTGCTTTTCATCTTATTCATTGTTATAGCTGACAACTGTTAGCTGAAAGTAGGGGCACTAAATTAGTTGAAAAGATGTTAAAAAGCAAGAAACCTGTACAAGAAAATGAAAACAAACCTTTTACAAGGAAGGAAGTGACAGTAGGCAAGTCGACAGACCCTGTAACTAAAACAGGTCAGTATCCCAGATGTGAACATCCCTTTTGCAGAGTCTGGAAGAGTTTCGATTTGGATGTGAAATGTAAGGCATGGATCCACCTCTGGTAACTAGAACATTTATTCATCATCATAATGCTACTCTTCCTTTAAAAAAGGATAAATATGTAAATCTTAAATGAGACTTCACCAAAACATTGTACGTAATCGAGACATGTTAACTGCTTCATTTGTATTCTGGAGTGTGCTTTACTATAAGATGTTTTTAAGTCTGGTTTCCAGGTTCTATGTAGACTCCAGATAGCTTTTATTTCCAGGCACTCTGAGGAGGACTCACTGCTGAGTTCTGACGATCTTCAGTAGCTAGAAATGCTCCATTAGCTAATTGCTCAATGATGGTGACCTTTCTGGGGAAGTCCACGTGACAACCTCATTAATGCCACCTTGGTGAACCCTGGATATCCTTGTAGGCCATTTGCTTGTTGTTATAACCATATTCCTCAAGGAGCAGTGTCTTTGAGATTCATATGGGTGTAAAAAGGTATAGAAGTACAGGTAGAGAAGGTACAGAAATTGCAAAGTTTTTGTGGTAAAAATCCTCATAGCAAATACCAGAGGGTTAGTGATGTATTCTGCCATGCTCCTGCAAACCTGTTAGAGTGCTGAACAGGATGATTTTTGAAGAGGCCTTTGCAGTAGTATTGGGCAATAGTAGTACAGCTTAACTTTGCACTGGTATGGATAAAAGTAAGGTAAAAAAGTGATGAGAACAGAGGGAGCATGAGAGACCCTAACTCTGCACTAGTGAGAGCACTGTTGCATGGCCATCTAATTACTCTTGCTTCACAGCTAGAGGGAGGTCTAGGAGCATAGCTATAGTTCTCATTATGCAGATCAGACCTAAGGAGATGTCTAAGGAGCAAAGTGAAGGTGCAAGAGCAGCACATGCTAGTGTACCCAGGCTGTTTCAATGCAGTGAGCAGGAGTAACAATACCAGTGACAATGTTGTGTAAGGTTTGAGCATAGAGTTCATATCCAGGGCCCCTGAAATTTGTAAACGTGTTGCTAGTATGTACTAAAGCCCCTGATGGAATGCCTTTACTGCTGTTGTTTCTAGGTAGAGCTAACATAGGTATGCTAGCACATGCTACAATGCCACCTTCTGATTCTGTGTAGATACTAGTCTATGCCTCTTCAGTGACAAGTATGCCCAGATCTTTTTCACACTGTATATTGAAAAGCAGTGGAGCTGGTATGTGGGTGGCACAAGATCTATATTCCCCGAGGGGAGAGGAATACAGGGATGGGAGGGGGAGGCTGATCAAAACTAATTGATGTCAATGGAAGGTCACCCCCCCTGCCCCCCCGCTCCCCACACACACTTGAAGGGGACTTGTGTCAAGTTATCAGCACCTGGTATTTACCTTTATTGGTGAATATGTCTACCTATTATTGAATCAGCACAACTTTGTGCCCTAAGATGCAGATCAAGGCCCCACTGTGCTAGGTATCCTAAATACATCATAAAAGCAGCACACTCATTGGAAGGGAAGCTGATACCACCCAACTTCCTGGGATGTTTCCTCACTCTTTAAAGGGTTGAATTTCCTTTTTAATGGTGTTGAAAATACTTCTCCCTCTTCTTTTGCCTTACTTTTCTTTCTGTGCCTGGGACTGTGCTTAAGTTTATGGCCAGCTGATTGATCCATAGGCCAAAGATCTAAGCTGTGGAGTAAAAAACCTTCAAAGGTCAGTGCCCTTCTCTCTTGTAGCCTAGTTAAAGACCTGAAGCAATGTTTTGGAGTCATGACTTAATCCACCAATGAGTGCTGGGTGGGAGTTTAAGCCTCATTTAGTCCCCAAACCCTTTGCTACTGATCTGAAAATAGCCAAGAGGTTAGCTCTAGAGTGAACCTAAATAGGAATCAGAGCTGTGGCTTGTTTGGGGAGAGTCTGGGCATGGCCCATAAACCATTATGACAAACCTTAGATACTGTTTGGAGGTCTGTGGCTATCTTGTCCTGATCTTCAAGGATTCACCTTTTTGGGGGAGCTATAATTACAAGTAGCAGTGTTGTTAAGAGCCTTGTAATCCCCAGGTTTATCCAGGGGATTTATGCTGCTTGTGGTCTTTGCCCTTTTATCCCTGGAGGTTTTCTTTACAGGCAGTTGGAAGGGGGAAAAAAAGAAAGACAACAAAGCTCTAAGTGACAGAATGATTTTCCTTGGCTTCTGTGATAACTGACCAAGTCAGACAATTTTGCCACATTCCTTATCTTCATTAACTCTTAAAATCTCACCCCCTTGAAGTGACATACCTAAGAGGGAAAACAGTGGGGCACGATGCAAAGCCTAGTGGAATTGATGGAAAATCAGTGGACAATTGTCCACAGGACAGGTGGAATTTAAAGGATCCTGGACTGAAAAAATACAAGCCTACCTTAATTATTGTAAAAGAGAACACATACCACCGAGGGTAAACTGGTTGCTTGTGAATTTCTTTACATGCAGTTGGAAACTGGAACATTTCCCAACTAACTGTGTTAGACAGACATGCAGCTGTTTTCTCTTTCATATTCCAATACCAAAAATAAACCATGCCTGGGTTATTCAGTGTCTTGTTGATGATCTAGGAAAAGCCAGGATGATCACAGCTATTGGTCAGAATGGTCAGAACCCAGTATCATTATTACAGCTTGCAGTATTTGACACAGACCTGGCCAGAAGGGCATATTCTACAGAGTGCCAAATTCTCTTTGAATTAAGATCCAACCTCAAGGATTTGTGCTTTCTAGAAAACATACTATTTCTGCTCTTAGAGCTTATCACTGTTTGTATGGTAGTGCCAATACGTGCAAAGCACTGTCCAAAACTACAGGTGGACACAGTCTTTGCCCTGAAAGCCTTAGAGTGTAATAAGAATCACAATGGGAAAGCAATCATAACAGATTGCTGAGTACAGCAAGGATGGTGAATGGAGATGCAGTCCTATGAGCACTGAAGACGACTCTTTTTTACAGACCAGAACTTTTATTTCAAACCACAGCTGACCTGATTCTTCCCTTCACCCCTTTGTAAAATGAGAGCCGGATACCATTGCCAATTTTAAGCACACAGGTTGATCTAGTTCCATGCATGTGCTGAAGAGAAGGTGTAGGAGATTCTGCAACAGAGTAGAATCCTCATTTGGAACCACGCTTGCAACACAGCTCAGTTCCCATGAAGGATGTAGCTAAGGCACATCTGGGCAGAAAAGTTCTCAAGCATGTACCAACCCTGGAAATGCGACTATGAAGCCACTCTGCAGGCACCCTCTGTGGCTGTCCCAGAGACTTCTGTCTTTGGGGCTTTAGAGAAGTCATGGGGGAAACCCCTAGAGCAATCTCACCTTTTTATTTCTGCACGTGAGTAGGAGCTGGTTGACAGGGTATGTTCAAGAGCATCCCTCGGCCCTGTAGGGGACAAAAATATCTGGCTCCAGTTATAGGCTCTGTATTTTTCTTAATGTTCTCTTTAATAATTTTCAGCCTGCTGTAAAAAGTGAAGGGTGGCAAGGTAAAAATAATCAGTAGAAATGATTGAAACCTCAATTGATATAAACTAGGAAGAAAAATCTCTTCTTTTGCTATCAGTAGGCATTAGGTACCTAGGTGCTTTTAAGAATCCCACCAAACACTTAGCCACATCTTTACCTGCCTGGAAAGCCTTTAAAAATTGGACTCTAATTGTCTGAGTCACTTTTGAAAATGGGACTTATGTTCCTAAGTCACTCAGGTGTTTTCAAAATGTTTTCACCTGGTCTGGTGCTTTGATTTAGAAACTGCTTTTAAAATTATATTCCAATGCTCCTGTGGGAAAATAACCAGCAACAGAGAAAAGTATATACATAATCTTCCTATGGTTGGTCACAAAACAACTGTTCTGTTTTGTAAAAAAAAAAAAAAAAGGTTGACTTTTATCTTAATTTTTATACTGGGACAAAAATAAAAATATTCAACGCCCCCCTTCTCCCAAGTGAGTCACTTCAAGTAAGCCAATAATTCAGCAGAGAGTACCTGTCTTGGCTATGGGAAATCCAAGTTCAAGTTCCTGCTTGGCTTGTTTCTAACTATGATTTAAACTTGAGCTTCCAACATTCCTAATTTTAAAAAGGACATTATCATGAAATATTTAATTATTTAGTTATAGCAAATCTGTAAATATATCTAAGCATGAATTTTTGCAGTTAAATCTTTGTCATCAAAAGAAAAGAAATCTGTTATCAGGACAGAGCATATATAACATTC